CCCCACCCCAGGCCAAGTGGCAGAAGCAGGTCTTCAAAGCCCTACGGAAGGCCAGGAGTGAGGGGGTCAATCACACCTCCGGGGGCAGAATGTTCCAAACAGCGGGGACACGATCACATATCCACGAGGGTACTGGGATGGGCGGAACTTCGAGGACTGGTCATAAATACCACTCGCCAGCGCCATCATAACTGTGAATGGTTACTGAACAAGTGGTCATTAACCGAAGATTACCTGTATAAGAGCCTGCATATCAGAAGTCAAGTAGCTTCTGTAAGAAGTGTTACCCTGAAAAAAAAGTAGCTTTGAACGTTATATATGGTCATTCAATGCATCTGAAAACTAATGGTTCACTTCCTGCTAAGCTTTAATGTGATTTGCTTTATTTTGACTTAGCATACTGTTTATACTCAATCATGGCTAAAATGGTTTAATGTGATGAGTGCATAAAGACATATTGGCTTGTTCAAGAAACCATGGTTAAATAAATCATGGCACCGCATGTTGAATGAGTCAACTATAAAGGGTTCTGGCACATTTTTCAAGAAGTTAAATCTGCTTTCCTCATCTTGGTACTGTTCTTTAAACTTATTTGATTCAGCTTAAACATTGAACTGAGCAACATACAGTCATATGTGTTTTTTCCTGCCCAGGGTCTAGGACTTTTAATGAAGGAAAGAGGGAGGAATTGATTAACTACATAATCTGGATATTTTTGTTTGCAACACTTTTCCACCATTATGCCTGGAGTCATCTTTTCTATCTGTTGGGAAAGGAATATGGAGCCACATCTAGTTTCTGCTTGTTCTGTGTTGTTATCCTGTTCAGCTTAGGCTACATGTTTAAAGAATATTTAACAGGTTCTTTTAAATGATTGTAGACATGTTGAAACTTCAGAATAAATATTGACTGTGAGGAAATGCCAACTGTTTAAAAAGGAGGAAAAAAATCCTTTATATAATAATGAAAGAAGTCTATCAACAACACGGGGCGGGGGGTGGGGGCTGATAAATTCCAAAGACTTTGATTTGCTCATCTCCATGACACCACCCATATTGGGCATGCCTCTTCATATCCTTCTTGCGTCTGTCAGCTAAGACCAAAAGCAGTATTCTGATTGTACCTGTTGATCTCCATAGCAACAGATACCATCTTGGAAGTAAGACATCCCCAGGGCTGATAACATGGTGTTCCTCACATACTGTATGTAACAAAACAGTTCAAAATAAAATCCATATATTCCACAAACAATGATATCATCCATTTTAACCGCTCAGGACTCTTTTATTGCGTTACCATCTCAGCTTGCTGTATGTGTGGAACAGACCATACTATTGGGGTTAGATGTGAAATACCTTCTAAAGGCTGCTGCAGTGTGACCTCACAGATGACTGGAGATAACCTCAGTGTATCAAATTAGGAAAGATCCATAGACAATCAGGTGCAATTATCATTGTTTTGTTCACAAGAATTACCTCATTTCTTCTTGAATAACCCCTTCACATTGACACCAAACTTTGAGCTGCCATAGGAAGAGGCATGTTAGGAAGCACAGACCATGGGCAAAAGCTGCCTTATGTGATTGTGTGTGTGCTGCTGCTGATTTCTTAGCATAGATTATACTTGTTGCCCAGGTATGAATGCTTCAGACATTATGGCATATGTGTTGTGCCTACCCTAGACTTTTGCTAGAAGCCACAACAATGTCTAATGCATCATGATGCCATTGCACAATGTGAATTATATAATTTGTGTCAGTGGCATCTTGATGACATGACATCATGAGTTACTTCCCTGCCCCCCTACGCCCCTGGATGCCCATGAAATCGGTGGGAGGGTTTTAGGGATGGAAACACTAGATAAATGGAAGTGTCCTCAATTTGGAGTTTCCTGGAGGAATTACTGAGTTATTGGATGTGAAATATTTGAACATTCGAAAAAGCTTTTTATTAATGCTACAGCCAAGTTCAGTTTCTATAACTGCTTTGGCAGATATCCATATTGATATGACTGCTTCATTTATACCCTTTATAAGAGCATGTTGACAACAGAGAATGTGGACTCTCAAAAATCAATTGTTCTCCAGAACTAAGCATCTAATTGCTGACATACTAATGTGATAGGCAGCTCATCCGTAGGAAGACCGTCTCCTGCTCTGTCTCACATATAAGAGACTCATTCTCCCTTTACAAATAAGATAGCTAGGTTGGGCCATGGGGGACAACAATCCACTCTCCACACTAGAACTAGATCCACTAGATATTGCCCTACTATGGATGTTGGGTCTTCTTTGTTAGCATCACTGGGTTTCTTCCTGCCACAATTCCATTAAAAAAAAAATCTTATAATATTCAGAGAGGCCCAAAGGATCAATGACAACATTAAATGAATGAGAACCCTTTTTGCCTTAACAAGGATATCATGAAATGTTTTCAACCATGCCAAAAAGAGCAGGCAAAGAAAAACAGTTCTCAGAGACAACTGCAGCCATCAAGCTCTCTCTTGAACCATAACCAGATCTTGCTGTGTGAATCCTGCTTTCTTGGCTTGGCTTTTTCTCCAATGGTGTTATACAAGCTGGAGAGACAGGGAGGAGTATATGCTATACCCCCCTACCTAGCTAGTGGCTGGGGATCAAAGATCACTGCTGTTTGCTTCCCCAGCCTCCTGCTGCAGGGTTACGCAAGATCTTTGTTAGAAGAGCTTGGCCAGCAGCTGGAATTAATCAAGCGCCTGTCTCTGCACGCCTTTACAAAAGAACTGCTCCCCCATCCTCACCCAAGGTTATAAAGCTTATGTCCAGCCTCTCTTCCTGTTTGCTGTGGAACTTAGCTGCTGGGTCTGCACTTTTCTTCCTCAGACAAGTATCTTCTTTAGTTATTTGAGCCTCCTTCTCTGGTGATTATGATGTGGTGGAGGAAGACCTCAGGCAGAAAGTCCCAATCCTACCCTGATTCAGAAAGATCCTTTCAGAAGAACTCTAGGACCCTGTTTAGGGGCTTTATGAGACCTCCCGTTTCATCTGCCACATGCCTGAAGGAGTCTGTTCTTCATCCTTCATTTAGGTTACACGGGACAGCCTTCCTTTTCTTCCCTGTTATGACTGGTATTTGATTTTTGTTGCAGGCACAAAGGATCAAGATGTCTCGCAGGAGTCCAACCCTTGCCTGGTTGATGCTGGTGGTGTGCCTGGCATTATTGGACAGCAGATGTCAGGCGCAGCGGGACTGCCAAGTGAGCAACTTCAGGGTTCAGGAAAACTTTGATAAATATCGAGTAAGTATTCTGCCCTCATCTTTTCCTTTCTCTAGGTATTCTACTTTGCTCCCCTATGGCCCATCCCTGCATTTCTTTGCTGCTCCCCACTATCCAAAAGTTTCCTAGTTACATAAAAGAATCTGAGATGGCTTCTTAGCTGCCTGTATGCTTGATAGCCTCTTCCAAATAGCCATCTTTCTTACCGCCTTCAGTTCCTTCCCTAAAATCTACCTTGTCCATGAAACTTTTGTCACCTTAATTTTCATGCCCATGGGATTCTGAACACTGCTGAACTACAATTCTGTGCAGTCTGAAAACATCTGGAGAGCCAGAGTCCCTACCCTTGAGTAGATAACCAAACCTAAATATAAACCAGATATCGCTTCCCTCCTCATCTACTGCTTCTTTGGTTGCCAAATGTAAAACAATAAAATCCTTTAAGATTTTACTTTACAGCAAAAATCCTTTATAGTAAAATGTCGTGCATTCTGCTGGTGTTAGATGTTAGAATGGATAAGGTTATTAAACTTGCATGCAGCTAATTCATGGTGAACACTATTTGTAGCAGATAAAGGCAGTTAGTTATGTTCATTGCCCAGCAAACTCCTCCCATTTATTTTCGGAAATAAATTTCAAAAGTATAGCTGTGTCACTCTCTTAGAGAAATCTCTTTGTGAATTGAGTTACATATGTTTACATTTCAAATAACATCAATAACTTGGTATTATCTGAATTTCTTCCTTGGAGTATTATGTTGTTCAGTCAAATATAGCCTATATATGCAGATATGTCAGCTGTATAAACTCTAAATGAGGTAATCTTTTATTATAAATCTCAAGTTTTCTTAGTGACAGACATTTTTTGGGCAGGGGAGAAATTTGGCACCATTTCATCATCCAAATCATTTATGTGTTAATCTCCACAAGGCTCAGTTATCTAATTCAGTTAATCTCTATATCACTCTTGAGAGAGATGGCAGGAAAAGGAAATGTTTTCTAGCTTACTTCCAATGGATAAAAATTAGATATGCAAGGAAAAGTTATGGATGTGTTGGCTCTAGTGTTTTCCTTCAACTAGTGGCATCTAACCAGAGGACAATCTGCGTCATCCCTGGAATGGTGTATATTTATTCCTTCCCATTGGTTCCATAATAACGTAAGAGCTATCTGGTAAATAAAACAAAGGTTAATTATTAAGTTTGGTATAGTTATTGTATACAGAAGAGTCCACTATTTAAGCTATGGAACCCGTCTTTCAAAGGTTAATCAAAATGTGTACACCTGTCCTCAGAAGTCCCCAAATATAGCTTGTAAGTGTCAATCACCAACTTAATGTAGAATTTTATTTTAGGAGGGTTTGCTGAGAATCCAGATTTGTTCTCTTTCCCTGAAAATGTTTTAGGGTTTCCTGAAATATTGAAGTTCATCCTTGCACAGTGTGTTTGGCGTTTCATTTTTTGTTGCAAGCTTTCACAGCAGATGAACACTGGCTGTGGTTGAAACTTTCTCCATTGGTGTTTCATTTCCTGATATTGCATTTTCCTGACCTATTTCTTTAGCCAGGTCTGCTAAGGACTTTCTTTCTCTTTTTGGCAGTATGCTGGCACCTGGTACGCCATAGCCAAGAAAGACCCTGAAGGATTGTTTCTTCAGGATAACGTGGTGGCCCACTTTACTGTGGATGAGAATGAGAAAATGAGTGCCACTGCCAGAGGCAGAGTAGTGCTCTTTGGGTGAGTCACGAGGCCCAGCCCTTTTCAGCTTCCTTCATAGGAGGTCCAGCCCTATCATTAAGGAAGGTCGGGTCAGGATCTTAGCTCAGCTGCCTTGGACATCAAGCTGGCAGCTTTTAGGGTTTATTACTATTGCAATAAAGAAGGACAAGGCAAGGGACAATCTAGTCATGGTGAGGGCGGGGGGTTCCTCTTATGCCAAAAATCATGTCTGGCCTTGATTACTGTGCATTTTGACTTGGGTTGGAAGGTGCAACACAATGAGAAATACTGCTATTTCTCAAGCCAGAAAATGACGTGATCGAGCCTCTCGCAGGTTTTGCCTCTCTTCTACCTGGTCACATTCTTTTCCTTCTTACTGGTAAGCACAAGTAGCTACAGACTTATAAGGATGACCTGAAATCCACCTCTCCTTCTTTTCAGTAACTGGAACATATGTGCTGATATGATTGGCTCCTTCACCGAGACAGAGGATCCTGCCAAGTTCAAAATGAAATATTGGGGTGTGGCCTCCTATCTCCAGAAAGGAAGTGAGTGTGCCAGGAGGACAGCTAGCTACCCAAAGCCCTGGCTACCTTTGAATGAAATTGAACTACTTTATTGAAAATACCAAATTGAATGAACTACTTTATTGAAAGTTCAATAAATCTAGAAAGCACCAGGTTGGGGGAGAATGTTATGTATCTAGTCTCTCTTCTTTATGAAGAGATGTTGGTCAAATCTATAAACATTAAGTAGATGAGAGCAGGAGAAGAAAATCTCCCTCATCTGTCCACTGAAGCTACAGCTACATTTAAGGAAGTTGCACAGAATAGACTGACATCATTACCATTTGAATAATTTTGTTATTGTGGGTGCTGAAAATCTGGTTTCAGTATCCCTTGAAGACTCCAGAAAGGCACATGGAATTGCCTGTTTTTTTATTGTTTTGTTTTGTTTTTTGCTAGAACAGGCTAACTCCAGAAGTCATCAGATATTACTGGAAAGGCTATTTGTCTCCAGCTTTTTTCACCCAACCTTCAACAGATATTCAACCTTTGCTCTGCCACGAAATCAAAGCTGGCTGCTTCCTAAAGACCCTGGAGTCCAAAGGCTGTTGTCCTTGTCTGGGTCAGGTTAAACACTGAATTTGGCGCATCCCTTGAATTGTATCTTATCAAAAGCTGGCTCCACAGGATGCCTCTTTTAGAAAGGAAGCTGTTAAAAGTTCTTACCCCTCCTGTTATTTGGTAACTTTGAAGATAATGTGCTCCCAGTGTTGATTCCTTTGTAAATTTCAGGACTTTTATCACTTAAGCCTGGCCATTTCACAGACTTTAATCTTTTGGCTTCTTCAGCACTAAAATACCATTAGCAGCATTTCTGAAAATCATTCTCATCATGTGTTCACCAGTTTGACTTGACACTTGCCCCTGAAATAATGATGTTTCTAAATCTAGTTCTATTCGTACTTCATTTTTATACATGAAGTGTCAAACATGTATGTAAGCAATTAAATTGCCCGTGTATTTAAACATTTCGGAATCAGTTTTAAGTAATTGGCACTTTCTAATACAAAGATAAATCTCGTCTCTGATAAGAGTATATACTTTCAGTACTTGAATGGCAATACAGTAACTTTTACACTATTAAGTGGATGCCTACAAATCAGGTTTTGTTCACAGAGAAAGAATGCGTGAAACAGCTTTTGAAGTGAACAACAATGGGTCAATAAGTGATCCTGAACTAATGGGCTTGGGGTAATAAGTAATAAAGTGATACTGAATTTTCATTGTGCTTTATCCTAGATGATGATCACTGGGTTGTGGCCACAGATTATGATACATATGCTCTACACTACTCCTGCCGTAATATTAATGAAGATGGGACTTGTGGTGACAGCTATTCTTTTTTGTTTTCCCGGAATCCATATGGACTATCGCCTGAAGCGCAAAGAATTGTCAGGCAAAAGCAGGTGGAAATCTGCCTAGACAAACAATACAGGATAATTGTACATGATGGTAAGAAATATTTCACTAGAATTTTATAGGAAAACTGGTCAAGATGTGATAGATTAAGAACAAGAGAGAGAACTACTAATTCTAATGCAGTTAGAATTCTTAGCGACACACTGATGCCACAATTAGCTTAAGATCCTTCATAAAAACAGTTGGGGCAGAGAGACTGTGGAAGAAAATAGCACCAGGAGGAAAGATGGAGAATGGATTCTGTATCTTCTTGAGTGGGCAAATGTTAAGTTCATAACATAAAATATTTGTCTAGATCAGTGTTTCTCAACCTCAGCAACTTTAAGATGTGTGGACTTCAACTTCCAGAATTTGCCAGCCAACATCTTAAAGTTGCTGAGGTTGAGAAATACTGGCCTAGATCATCATATGCTTTAAGACTAGCTTTCACCAACCTGATGCCTTCCAGATATGTTGGAGCTGTTACTCTTAGAATTTCTAACCAGTATGACCTTATGGCAGGGAAAGTTGTAAGTCCAACACATCTGTTACATCATGGCAAATCCTAATACATGAAAATTAAGAGGTGCATCTGATGAAGCACTGTAAGCATTTTTGAGAACTGTATCATGCTAGAAACAAACTTGCAAACCTATTTATTCATCCTGAATTGCACTATTTCATAATGGGTACCAGGCAGCTGGTGTGACCTCAAGTCTACCTGGGCCAGAACCTCAAGGGACCAGGGAGATGGACTTGGAAGGCAAACTGGGCAAGAGAAGACTCATGAAAGGAACAGAACAAACTTGGCCATGAGTTGCTTTGAATAAATCGCAGAACTAAAAAAAGGAGGCCCTAAGGGATTTCCAACTCTTTCATATTAATTCATCATTAGTTACCAGTTGTTCTCAGGTGTGATTTATATACTTCCCCCTCCAATTCTTTTGCAGATAGAGACAATCTGACTTCTTAATTTAAATTTGGATGATTCTCACTTTTTGTCAGGAATCTCTTTTTGCAGTTCTCAACCCACAGAGTGTCTATTCTTCCTTCTGGGAATTCTTGTCTTTCCCCCACTTTGAGGCTCCTAGACTCAGTTATCATTATAGCAGTTGTCATTAAGCCTCTCGTTCACACAGTATCACCTGCCCTGCAAAAAGCTTTAATCTATTGCTCATGGAGGGTTTGTCTATACCAGACAGACAGCCAAGCTGACTGGGGAATTCTGGGAGTTGAAGTCCACACATCTTAAAGTTGTCAAGTTTGAGAAACATTGGTCTATACATTGCTTAGAACAGATTTCCATTACTGTCTCAAAGAATAATGTGCTAAATCTTCTCTTTCCTGTCATGGTCATACTGGGAAAGTTACCTGAATGGAAAAATGCAGGCATGCCACCACTACAAGGATACCACCCCATATCAGTGTTTAGCGTGTAGTATGGATATGGCACCATGGCACATGAACTATGGCAACTGAAAGACTTCCGTCACCGCTATTCATTGCAGCACCCCTCATACATGTTTTTCGGAAGGATCTTTGTTTCTGCTTTTTGCAACTCACCAAACAAACATATAAAAGTGTGCATTGGGGCATAGATGTCTAGGAGAAACCATAACGATGATTTGTGAGTCGAGATAGCATCACATACACGTCATGAATAGTTGTGTCATTTGCATGATTATGTTACAAGGTATGTGACACTACTTGCAGTCCTAGATGGATGGGGACAGGGGAGAGCACAAACAATTTGTTTTTTATTTTATTTTATTTTATTTATTTCATTTTATGTTATATGTTAGTGCAGTGCAAGATCTTTCTTAATTCACCAGTAGCAGAAGTTTAAGGGGATGGGATACAGAGCTACTGGCCTGGTTGTAGGCAGCAAAGGAAAAGAAGAGGATGGTTGAGTGGCTGAGTTTTCACTGCAAGCTCTAGTCTTAGGGAAGGACAGACACCCCTGAGTTAATAGTATGGGCAAATCACTATAGACTGCTAAAAACTGAAGATGATCTGGGAGAAAAGTAACTGTGATTTAAGCTGACTTCTAAGGCTTGGAAAACAGAAAGGATGATTTCCTGAAGTGCCACATGTTGCTCCAAGTGCTGGATGTTTGGAGGATGGTGGGAATGTGCTCACGAGCTAGGGGTACCATAGGCCAGGGAACTAAAGGAGGCAAAGGTTGCTAGACTGGGACAGTTCTCCTTAACCTCATGTCACTGGACATTAATGCTATCCTCAGCTGAGATTACAGAAATTGAAACCCGATTGATTTGGAGTTTGAGGAAAGCTGGTCAGGAATACCGACTGACTAATAGTGCATTTTTTAAGAGTTAGATGGAAAGAGACTCCTGCCCGTTCTAGCTCCTCTTGTTCTTCAGGGTTGAGTACAGTATTCAGATACGAAGGCAGCGACATCAAGGGTGAAATTAAACAGACATTCATACTCTGCCTAATTTAGCAGACTGGTTTGAACCCATCTGTCAGTTCTAGCACCTTATTACATCCTATTATGACAAACCAATTCCCTTTATTTTGTAATGGCCTTCTGGCAATTTTACCATATTTTATTTTCTCTTTTTCTTTTTTTAGGATTCTGCCCATAAGGACAACACACTCTATGGGAAGTGGGGAAGCACATTCTCTATAGTTAGAAAGTTTTAAAGTGTACTGTTTTGAGGGAAGTCCTTCAAATGGATTCATTTGGATTTTAAGTATATTTATCTGAATTATGTCATTTATCCTTCCACCAGTTAATAAACTGAAATCAGTGTAATAGCACAATGATTGTGTTGTGAACACGTATTTATACATTTCAGGTACATAATTCTCATGTTGTATTAACAAACCATTATTTTATTTGTAATGTTTAAAATTATAAATCCAAATTGTAGTAGCTAATTATGTCTTATGTTCCTTCTTATTCTACAAATGATCCACAAATATTACTGTGCTGGCACAACCTCACCTCATAGCCAGTGACAGTAGACCCTCATCCTGAACAACAGCACTAATTTTTCCTGGGGATGGGGAAGCTGCCATGTAAGATATGATTGCAATTTGTCCATACATTGCACCTTTTTGCAACATACATGTCCATGTTTCTTGTATGTATGCTATGAGTATTTTTTTTATCTTTTTCATAAATTTTATATGAACATGGTTTGTCAGAGCCCACTGATCTAGAGTAGGAACGTGGGGAGCTCCCTTACATGGAGTCAGATGCTGGACCCAGAAGCATCTTCTACAAGCCTTTGTTTTGTCAAACTGATGAAACATACATCATGGTTATCACGATGCAAATGCTGCTGCTTATGAATTTGTGTCTCATTACAAGTACAAAAAAGCTGAAATTTGCCTTGCACCATTGAGGTGCACATTTATTACTTGCCTTCCCCCACCCCCAGGGCCAGAACTGGACCATTTTGCTGGCTGGGATTGAACAAAACCCTTAATTTGGTTCCTGCAAGTAACCCTTATTCTGTATTTACCTAATATATTAAACCATGAACTAACCAAAACAAGCAGCAATTGTACAAGGCACTAAGCCACAAAACAAAAACAAAAAATAAAAAAATAAGCCAATGCATGTTATACATACAGTTATTAGATCTTCAACTGATCTGGTCAAGCATGTTATGTGAACTTAACTGGAGCTCTCCTGAGAGGCTCCATTCAGAATTGAGGGGTCTTTGGTTAGGAAATACAGAACATGAGATCAATGTGTGTTTATAGGACATACTGTAGTAGCCATATTGCATAGCTGACAGTGTCTGATGGAGAGAGATTGCAGTGGTGCTCCCAGTCTTGGGCTTCCTTATCTCACTTACTCTCAGCCTGTCCATTGGAGACAGTTGCATGTGTACTGTTAAGCTCCCCACAGCAGAACAAAACCCGAAAAGCAAGATTCATGATGAGTTACGTTTATTGTCAAGAAGGTAAAGATTCTTTTTTAATTTAAAGATTAAAAATTTTAATACATAGAATCTTGGAAACAGAATAAGTCAAAATTGTAGCACTGATTTATCAGTGGGTTCATCAAGATGGGTTCTCTGAGAGTTGTTGAACTTTTCTGAACTCTTTTCCCCAGAACATGAGACCAAATTGCTAACTGTTTCCCAGATCAGGCTGGCATTGAAACAAATCCCTCTGCTCATCATGATTAATGTTCTGAGATACTTTCATACCTTTCTCACCCCAAGATCCCTCTTATGTTTATGTTCTCTGCATTAACCTCTCCAGACTATTCCCACAGTAGCCTGAGATCTTATTGCTAATAACAGAGTTCTGACAATGCCAGAGTCCAGATTCAGCCATAGAGCCCAAGAGGCAAAGTCTAAGAGACTATGGGATTTGCTTTTAAACTGGAAATTTCAATTGAATATTCATAGGAATCAAATCTATCTGATTATGATTCTAAGACTGAGGGGGCCAGCTAAATACACATATATGATTTTAGGTCAGGAATAATTAATCAGTTCTTTCTACTGGTGTAGGCTTTCATGGTCAGTATCAATCAAGTGATGAGATTTTGGGCTGAATAGAGGTGGTCTAGGTTTCTGGCATCTTGACATTTCACTGGCAGTTGTGGCTGGCATCTAGAGAGGCAGAGTGAGCTGCTTTGTAGTGTACTTCTCAGCAGCTCATAGACAATGGAACAGGGACTGACTGGGCTCTTGTATTTGAACCTGGCAAGTTGATCTCTGGTCTCTGATTGGTCCATGTTGCAGGAGTCCAAGAAAACTGGTTCCTGATTTGTTTTTCCTCTAGGTAGAGGTGTTTTTCCTCTATTGGTACCTCTAGGTAGACTTATGAATGGTCCATTTTAAAGAAATTCCAAGAGAAATCGTTCCTGATTGGTCTGTCTTTGAGTCAGGCTACTGATTAGTTCCAACACAAATGGACCAATCAGAAGTCTCTCTGCACAAAGGACCAATCAGCAGCCTGGTTCAAAGATAGGCCAATCAGAAACTGGTCCTCTTATTCTCTATAGCCACCAATTTAAAAAAAATCTGTGGTCAGAAATCTAAGACATCACCTCCTAGAGCAGCGTTTCTCAACCTTGGCAACTTTAAGATGTTTAACTCCCAGAATTCTAAAGTTGTCAAGGTTGAAAAACATTGTTCTAGAGGAAAACTGACATGTTAAAAGTGGTACAGGCATACTTAAATGGTGAAATCTTCCAGTAGCTGGCACTTTATTCTATACTTGCTCTTATGAACCCAACAGTCCCATGTGAACCTGTTGCTTTGTCACAGATATACACAAGGAGATTTGAAGATCCTGAAGAAATCATCATTTTAATAAGTTGATGGTATAATATGGAGATGCTCTCAACTAAACTGTTTTAATGCATGTTTATTGCTATCAGATTTAATCCTTGTTTCTTACCACCACAACCCTCTCTACAAATTGATTGTTTTCTCAACTGCTTACTCCAGTTCTTAAAAACTGTTGACATTCTTCTTATGAGGAATACCACACAGTTATCTGGTGATAACAGCTACTGTGAAATGTCTCTCATTATGTTGCTTCAGGGAAGTGTCTGTTGTAATCTCTTTTCTCCCAAGAGGATCTTGGCAACAGAAAAAGATTTGCCTCCAACCATGTCTAAATTGGACTATATTATATAAAACTGGATTGACGATTGAATTGGAAAATGTAAAAGCCATTATCCAGAAGAAAACAAAAGATGCAATGTTCACATCTGGATTGAACTTATGTACTAAAATGAGGAGAATGGTGATGATGATCGGGCTCCACATGACAAAGAAGGAAATCATCAGGAGAAAAAGAGTCCGAAACAATTTGAAATCTTGCTGGGAAATGCGAATGTGATGTCTCTCAGAGTAGGCCATGCCCACCTGCAGGCGTCTCCTTGAGGCCTTGGCAATCTGCAATGGAAATCAAGAATATCTTTTTCAGTGATTCTACGATGGAAAGTAAACCTTGTGAATTACATTTCTTCCCTTTGAGAAGGTTTGAAAAATGATATCACAAATTTCATGTTTAGGATTTTAAAATCTTTTTTAAAAATATATTTTTAGACTGCCTGCAAGCTCACAGTACTTTCTTGAGATGAGCCCAAGGTGGCAAAAAAGGGAAAGGACAGGACTGGCCTGGATACAGGACAAAGGATAACTACGGTAAATTTTATTTCACTAAATTTGATGGGAAAGCACCCTCTATCATACTAAGGACAGCAGATCATTTAAAAACAGATAGAGTAGTACAACTACAATTGAGAAAATGTTATTGAGGTACCAAAGAATAGCTGAGGTGGTGGTCCTGCCATTGCTGTCTCTCAACTTCTGCTGCCTGACCAGTTTCACTATTTCTGTTTCCTGTTACACTGAAGCTCAAATTATTGTGGCGGAAGAATCTTGGTGGAATGTGTAACAGCAAAGAATTCAGCTCATATTACTGCAGCCATGGCAGTAATATAGCATTAAATACATATCATCGTACCTATATCAACGTAGTATTATGGTTCACAAAGGTTTATTCAGTAGAGTGAACTTTACACCCAGTCTTGGGCTTCCTTATCTCACTTATCTCACCCAGTGTTAATTTTCTGCATCTCTGCTGGCATCTAGTGACTGTCTGGATTTCTGCCAATCAGATATGGTAGTCCTATCAAAGAGATCCATTCCTTTATGATGCAGTGCTAGCTTCTGGTCATAACATTTTCATGCAGAGAGAGTATGAAAACTTCCGTTCTAAACTACTGGGACATGAAGTTCCAAACATCTGGAGAATGGTTCTGACTGCCTAGAAAAATATTTGATATGATGGAAAAGGGAGAGGAGGTTTCTAATCAATATTACAACCACTAAAGATGCTGTACATTAGAAGTAGGAAAACTGCGATGTTCCAGGAAACTTGCTGAACGATAATTCCTACCAAATCCAGCCAGGATGGTCTCTCATTTGTCCACTCCTTTATTTCTCTGTGTTGGACAGAAAAATGGAAGGTCCTAAAGACAATTTAAATAACTCACTTTAAATTTTAAAAAATCCACTTGGAGCATATGGGAAAAGAAGCAGCTTCAGTTACAACAGCCTTCTTTAAGCTGTTACCTTACAGATATCTTGGAACATCAACAGTTCTAACTGGATCTAAGAGGTCAAGCATATAGCAACTATTAAGTCAGCTGCACTGATTACCAGTCTGCTCTGGAGTTAATTTAAGATGCTGATTATGACCTTTAAAGCCCAAATGTCGGGTACCAGATGTGGGCTTTCAGAAGACCAGTAAATGATAGCAGAGACCTAGTGTTTTCTACTAGGCTGGTCTATGACTGTAAACCAGGAGACTGTAAGTTCTAGTCCTGCCTTAGGTATGAAAGCCGGCTAGTGACTTTAGGCCAGTCCCTCTCTCTCAGCCCAACTCACCTCACAGGGTTGTTGTTGTGGGGAAAATAGAAGGAGGAAGGAGTATTAGATATATTTGCTGCCTTGTGTTATTTATAAAAATAATAAAGGTGGGATAAAAAAATTCTTTAAAAAATTGATTTGAGTGTTTTCTATATCTCTGTGCTGCCATCTACTGGCTATCTGCATTTTTGCAATCCAGATCTGGCAACCCTACTTAATGGCTTGGGATCAAACTGCAGGTTAAAAGACTGCCTGCTTACACATAAATCTACCTGGCCTATACATTCATTCAATTCAAATCCTCACTCCCTATGTAGCAGGCTTTTCCAATGGCTGGAAAAGCCATTTGTGGAATTCTTTTATTGCCCAAAACACATCTAATCCTGCTCTCTCAGCTTTCAGGTAGAAGCTGAACTTTCCCCAGGTAGAACACTTGACTTTCCCCAGACTTAGCTAACGTATTCTCCACTCTGATATACTGATTTTTATGTTATAAGATCATACGTTGCATTTTTTTACATTCTAGTTTTAAATGTATGCTGTATTTTTAGTTCCATTTTAATTAGCCTGTTAGATTGAATAAATAAAAGTGGCTCCTACTTATAACTTTGGAATTTGCTGTCATGAGATATGGAGCTGGCTGGCAGTTTGACTGGCTTCCTAAAAGGGTTGTGATCATTTATGGAAGTCATGGAGATTATCGGTGGCAATGTGACTGCCTCTGAAAGCCATCTGCTGGGAGACTAGTGGGCTTCCCTGTGCAGTTGGTTGGCTACTGTGAGAACAGACTGCTGGACTTAAGATGGGCCCGGGGTCTGATCCAGAAGGGCACTGTTTATGTTCCTATATTATAACAATAAAAGTTACTGAGATTGTTAAGAATACTAAAAGTTGAGTGTTGCTTATTGCATTACCAACTTCCTTTGGAATATTCTTGTGGTCTGCTATTACTGTCTATAAAAATGAAAATCCATTTGAAACATCACTCCGAGTTTTAATAGTTGGCAACTCTTAGCATTTGTTTAAAAAAGCAGAAGTATGAAAAATACCTGTAAAATCTTTGAATAACTAATTACAATGACCAATCCTGGTATAAGGAAGATCACAGTGGCAAAGGACACATCCCAAGCGATTTCTCCTGCAATGCTGGGCCAAACCAAAGTGCAAATATACACTTCCTGTAAGCAAAGAACAAGACCTCCGTAAGCACTCCATTTGGACACTGGCTTTCACCACGTTTCAGAGAAATGCATCTGACTCTTTCACATGAGAGAATTACTAACCAAATATAAGCTATGGAAATAGCCAATAATTAAAATATTTCTTATTGTAAAGTCAAGTACATGTTCAAATAAAGGTGTATAAACCCATGGGACTTGGAAAGCAAAAAAATGACACCTAGCTATTATATCAGTGTGACTGAATAGTTTGGCAAACATTGGAAGCCAGATTTCCTTACCTCAATCTTTCTACGTTCATAACAGCTGCAGATTACAACTGAAAGATTATACAGTATGTACTATTCCCTGATGATTATGCTTCCTGTTTCTTCTTATGGTCTACGCATCCATCTTGCATTTCTACAGGGAAGCCTGTTTCTTTATGCAGGTACACCAAATCTTTAGTAGAAACAAGGCTACCGTATCTGGCTGCAAAAATCTGGACAACCACTTGATGGCTGCAAAGAGAAACAGAAAACTCTAACATTTTGTTGCCATCAAGTGGTTTCTCATCTGGTTGTTGCATGCCAGATGTGGAATAGCAGACAGAAATATTGTTCAAGCATAGGAAACAAAGACTTTTATAAAATCTGGTTATAATTCATCACTATACTTATTTTTGTGCACATTTTTCTATATACCATATTTTTTTATAGTTACCAAAGTTGAAAAAGTTTGACAGAAAGTTAAAAAAAAAAAAGTGTAGTTGAGGTACTGCTGAACTACAACTCCTAGCAATCCCAGCCAGTTAAGCTAGAGATGAAAAATACTGAGATTTGTGATTCAGTAACATCTGTAGGATCACTGGCAGTGGAGCATCCATGGACAATGTAACCCATCACTTCAGAGAAGCCTATTTCAGTATCAATAAGTTGAGTACAGGTCCATGCAGCCCAGTTCTACCTGACTGGTTCCTCCAGCCAGCATTACCCATCTAAACAAGTCATGAATAAAAACCGTATTATCTAAACCTGGGTTCATCGTTCATTACACTCTTTACAAACTAGATCTCCAAATCAGGATTTTCCTTGGTTTACAAATCCAATCTTGTTTGAGAGCCAGAAATCAGAAACCTGGGGTTAATAACTAAAATTAAGCTAATCAGGGCTGGACCTAGTTAGTCCCTGAAGAGACCACCAAGAAATTGTAGAGCTGCAGGCTGTAAACTAAGCCCAGGGCTGTAAGCTAAGCCAAGAGGAAGGAAATGGCAAACCGCATCCATGCTCTTGCCAAGAAAACTGTGTGGACGTGTCCCTGAAGTCACCAGAAGTCAAGCTCAGCTCAAAGGCTACTTTATTTTAAACCTGTTTTAACAACTTAAAACAGTGAGATTCAAAGGTTGAAGACTGTCCACCTCAGTCCTGCTTTTCCTGAGTACATGCTCATCCATGACCTTGATGGATCTCCCTAAAACTAACTCTAGACAACATATTCAACTTTCCTCCAGTTTTATACTATGCATCAATTATCAAGTCAGAGACATCTCTCTTCCTTGCCTTTATTTGCTCACTCAATGCAAGATGATCAAGATACCTTGCATAACTCAAAATCACTAAATCAAAGCCTACACAATCTCTTTGATACGCCTACATGATGTACTGTAAAGCACTCCATGAACCTGGCAGCTAACGTCAGTCGCACTCTGGGGTGAACAAAACTGAGCTCTCCAATTTGCAATGCCACATTTTATTTTATTTTTTGGCCAACGTGTAATATTTTGCTTGGATCCGAACAAGAAGCAGACGGAAGGCATCTATTAGCTGTGGATGATCTTCCCAACTGTCACACTGTAATATAGGAACAGATCTTTTTTTCATTTACTGTAACTGCCTGAAGATCATTATACCATTATGATAATGAAGGCATTTATGATTTGAATTATTCTTTAACTGCTCTTCAGCCAACACATCAAAGCACCTTATCAGAATAATAAAATACAATAAGTATAAATAAAAAACATAAAACAGCAGCTGATAAAAGTTTAGTATTTGGTACTGTGGGCATACAAACACACCTAGGCAGATAGCTTTGTCATATAAAAGCTTTTAACCTATTCCAAAAACGAAAGCAAAGACAACTTCAGATGACTTTCCGCGGAGCCGAACAATCATATTATTATAATTTTAAATTATCATCACCACATTCACCAATTCATCATCACAGTATCTTACCTTTACAAACTTTGAAGTATTTAAACTTAATAATCTCAGACAAATACAGCTGAGTGTGGAGCTAAGTGATTGGCTTTATTTTATGGCAAGATCTGAATGGAGAACTTTGTAACAGACAGCTTACAATCTCAGCCTCTATGCTTCAGGGGAAGCACAACTGAATCATATATATATGTCTGCTATGTGGCCTGCTGGTAGTTTCACCCCATCAGTCTTAACTACCTTCCCTCTCTTTACTCCCATCTGGCAACACTTCTCCAGTCCAAATGACATCCCAATGTCCTCACTGTAGATCAGCGAGTCAATGTCTTGTTCACTCTTAGCATACAGCTTGATGTCATCCATGTAGAGAAGGTGGCTGATGG